TCAATGGATAAATCCACTATAAATGGCCATTTTCAATAGCTATGTTAGTCATTACCAGAGGGCATATCTAATCATCTAATCATAAATAGTACAAATTATACTGGATTTACCCATTGAACATGGTGATTTTCCATAGTTTTTTGTATGGTTACCAGAGGGTTAACCGAATTTTCCTGGGCTAAAACCTTCACATCACGCAGGCGTAGCGCCCAAGGCACCTCCCAAAGCCAAGGCCAAGGTGCGGCGATGCCCGGCGGTGCGGGCTTCATGGCCCCAGTACGAAAAAAGGTGAAATATACCCTCTGGTAATTTAACGTAGCTATTGAAAATGAACATTTATAGTGGATTATAGTGGAATTACCTATTGAAAATGGTGATTTTCCATAGTTTTTTGTATGTTTACCAGAGGGTAAAATGTTATAACCAGAAGTTAGATTTTTAATGGTAACTATAGAAAGTCACTGAGAATCACCATAATATTTGGAATATTTGGAATGATGAATCCCCATTTATAAACTAGTTGTAAGTGGTTTCTAGGGCTTCAAAACTGTAGGAAACTGGGAGGAAAACTTAGGACAACCTGAGAAAAATGCCAGGGAAGATAATTGGGGCAATCTGGGAAGATTGAGAAAAGGTGGGAAAATCTACTAACTGTAAACAAAAATGAAAAGAAATGACAATCTTAGGAAGTCCGGGAACATCCGCAAACATGGATGGTGTGCGGGTGTAAAAACCAACCACAGATATCATGGTTTGGGATACGTCATAGAATATATATATATATACATATGTAATAATACTGGTAATTAGATGGCATATAATATGATATTTAGTTTTCTGATCTTGTTTGGAGCAATACCAGTCTACGATTCGGGTCTCACATTTGCCAAGTCCCATGGAAGTGATGGTCACAGCTCCTCACGTCTGTTCCACCTCGATGTAAGTAATGTCATCGCTGGATGAGACTAAACCATAATATGGGGGGTACTCCTCCAATAGTCATTTCATCTAATACTTTTTTATGGTAACCTCCCAATTAAACAGCCGTAAACGGGGTTTAAAAAAATCCAGGGTTGACATATGGCTCAACCGGTTGGCTGCCGTGCTTCGACACTGCCATTGTGGCGATGTTTTTTGATTTTCGCTGAAGCGCATTGTATGGACCAACCATTACTGGTTGGTGGTTTGGAACACTTTTTATTTTCCCATATATTGGGAATAATCATCCCAACTGACTAATATTTTTCAAGATGGTGAAAACCACCAACCAGATTAGGTGTTGCTTTTGTTCCATCAATACCCCATGTTCCAGCCCATTCTCTGCAAAACTTCAGATGTCCAAATCAGCCTTTTATGAATTCTTTGCATGTAGATGGCAGAGTGCTCAAGTTCAGGTTGCTGCTTAGTTAGGGTATGAAGACCCTGGTAAGTGCAAGATGTATCACAGGAATTCAATGGATCCGCGACTACCACAGTATCAATTGTCAGTTTGATCATTTTAGTACTGATTCCCTGGAATTGAACCCTGCTAAGCAAGCGGTTTAGATGAAATTACCCTCTGGTAATGCCTAACATAGCCATGGTATAGATGGCCCATAGAAATAGATGGTTTACCTATTAAAAATGGATTTTTTCCATGGCTATGTTAGTCATAACCAGATGGTAATTGAAATTATGCACTCATTTCAACTTGTTCTCCACTTGAAGATGGGTACCCCCTCGTATTCCTGGAAAGCTATTGCTTGAAGGGGCCTTGACTTCTTGGACAACATGTGTGGTACAATACCTCGCGCTATCCCGTGTACTTGTAAGGTGTTTGGTTCCAACGATGTTTGAACATCTCAACAAAGCTAACTTAACAGCTGATGACCTATTGACTTGAGCTGATTTCTAATTTCATTTGACTATATCAACATATATCAACCACAAACTCAATTGACATCAATCAGGTATATCTCTGCATAAATGGGCATTTCACCAATCGAGCCAGGCCAAAACCCATCATTCCGCAGTTTCCAACGGCTTTGTGACGTTGCACTGGCATGCCTGGGGTGCCCGGGAGGGATTGAGATCCCGAGGGGCCTGCCATTTTGGGGGTGTCAAATGTGGATTTTTTTTATCATTTTTTTGGCACAGCCATTGGCTAATCCACAGTGGGGATCATGGAGCGAGGTACAGAAATTACAAGATGAAGGGAAAATATGCTCAAGCTATGGAATGTTTACTTTCACCTGGACCTTGCTGATGCGTAGATGTTGCTGTAAATATCACAGTTAGAGGATATGGGGCCATGGCAATTTCATAGCCCAACAAATCAGATCCAGTCAGTTTTGGGACTGGGATGGGCTTTAGATGGCTGTGATGCAGACTGCGGTGGGTTCAAACGATGGAAGGTTGTGATATCTTAAAAGATGCGAACGGGAAACAGATACTGTAGTCATTGGTGGTCTTGTGTTTCAAATTCATTCCCTACTTGCGATAATAATAATCCTACTTGACTTTGATGTTTCGTTCAGGCCGTGCAACCAGCAACAAGCACCAACCCCCAGCGGTTCCAGCCCGTGGGGGGTAGCCACAAGGGGCCGTGCGGGGATCTCCTAGCGGCCCGCCATGTTTGATGACACTGCAGGGTAACCAGTAGAAAAACACACTAGTTTTTGCATTACGAACCACTATGAACCATTCTTAATCCGAACATATCCGAACTATTTACAATTATTGACCCTTGTCAATCGCTATGAACCCCACTATTAGCCATTATTATTTATTACAATATACATAACCACTACGGATTTTTCATTGTTCTCCAAGGTCTCACGGTGCTCTGAAGAAATAAAGACCTCTTTGGGTCACCTCAAATTGAGGTTATCAAAGAAGAGGAGAAACTGGAGAGCAAGGCCGGGATGGGACCCAGCATGGTCATTGGTTATGGTACCCGTTGGATATTTCCATGGCTCTGGGTGATATTTAAAAAGCAAAAACATGACTTTTGCGATGGTCATGATATCAATGAATTCAGAATTCAATTCATAGGGCTTTTGAGTTCAACTCGAAGAAGTCGGATGTCCAAGTAATCCTGGTACTTGTATGGAACCACATGGAGTTCTTGTTTGCTATAGCGTTTCTAGGGTGGTATTTAATACATTAAGTTACCCTCCAGTAAATTAACATAGACCCTAGCAGATAGGGGTTGGAACATGAGTTTCGATATGTTTCGATTAAAAATTTGTTATTTTCAAGGTCTACCCTCTGGTAATTTAACATAGCTATGGAAAACCACTATTTTTAATGGGAAAATCCACTATAAATGGCCATTTTCAATAGCTATGTTAGTCATTACCAGAGGGTATGTTACTTTACCAGAGGGTACTAGATGGAAGGGATTTCGATGTTTGTCATGTAACGAGCGAGTCCGAGCTCTTGGATACCACAAGACTGCATGGATCTCAAAGATGGGAGGTCGTCATGAGCATAGGGATGAAAAATAGGGATTTATAGTGATTAAACTAAACACCAATCAGCATTTTCAATGGATAAATCCACTATAAATTGGACTATATATATATATATTATATATATATATATATATATATATGTATTTATGTCATGATCCAAGATGCCCCAGGATTTTTGTGTCTTTTTTTGTCATTTCCCCATGCATCTGACATTGGATCCGACAAAAACTACAAAACATGTCCGACATGTCCTCGATCCGGTAATCCTCCGGGAATGGAAAAACCCACCATGACTCTAGGCAAGATTTGTAAATAACCATGGGGTTGGGGTAAATAACCCTGAAACTCCCCCATGGAACCACAAATGCACCAAAATGCACAATCCGATTCGAGAAATTCCCCAATGACCCAACACCGGAAAATGATCATCTTCGGTTGAATGTTGAATCACCATAAGCCATGACGGATCCTAACGGTGCTGCTATATATATTGTAACATGGATCCCATCAACAAAAACCCCAGTCATGTTAGCATTAATCTACCAGCACCAGCCGGATCCGTCATGGGACATGAAAACCTCCATTTCCCTCGGGAATTTTCCCAGCAGCTACGATCACCGGGGGATTACCCATATTCCAATTTCGTCATCCCGATGGTTGGTCAAAATCATCATTTGTTGATGCTTAAAATCACCAGATGTTTGATTGTTGTTTATTGTATCACCATTAAATCAGCATTAAACCCCTATGAAATCCAATGATATCCTTCTAAATCCCTAAACAAATCCCATTAAGTAATTTTTAATCCCTATAATATCCTATTAAATCCCCATGAAATCCCTATTAAATCCTATGAGTTGCTGTTGATGGCCATGAAATTTCTGGGGATTTGGTGCTACCAGGACGTGTTCCTGTCTCGGCTGGAAGTCCCTTGGCACTCCTGAAAGGTTTTTAGAATGAAAGGACATGAAAGGTGAATAAGTTTAAGCTATAGTTTAAGCTAGTTTGTTGCCAACATGTGTTTTCCTGATCAGAATTATGCTTTCTCTTTTCAAAACTGTGCTATGATTATGGCTCCAGATTTGCTTTAAGAAACACCGAATCGGGGTGAATCGGGGCCATTGGAGGTGCGCATCCCATGATGTTCCCATGGGATGAGTCACGATGTTTCCACAGCGAAAGTTTGATATACCAAGATGCGAATCTCATATTGGCTCACCATGGTGCTGGTCTATTTACCATTATTTACCTACAAAACTGGGCCATAAAAATGGGGTAAATGGTGGGATTCATATTCCAGCACCATGGAGTATATGGGAATGGGAAGGCTTACTGGTAAACGGCTGACTATTGCATTTCTGGATCGAACGGAGCCTTGAAATGGCGGGCTCTAAATGCAAGTGCCACAAGCTGTGACATGATTTTTCGGGGAAGCAGGTTCTATTTCTTTTCCGCAGAAAACTCAATGCAGTGAGCAAACCACAGATGAGCGTTTTTATTCCATTCAGCACTGATGCCTTTAGCAACCTGCCATAGCAGTGTGCCATGACTCGAAGTGCGAAGAAACCGTGCCTCTGGTTCGTAATTCTGACTTTGCTGACCTTTGTGGGCTGGGCTCCCACGGACTTCGTGAAGCATGCGACCTCACATCGAGGAGGGGCCGTCAGGCTCGCCGCTGCAGGTGAAACGTGGTGGTGTCAAGGTGGTGGCATAAATGGGAAGCTGAAAAACTGTTTCGAAGAAAACATGCAAGTGGATGGCCTGCCCTTGCTGAAGGACTATGACACATACCAGGCATCCTTACCTGTGAGAGAGCTTCGACATGGTAGTCTACTCACGTTGTATCAGCTGCCCTTCTATGCTAGGATCACCGACTTGAACAGTTTTGCTGAAAGGATGAGCAGTGAACTGGGAATGCGCACCTCTGTTGATTATATCACAGCGGCTTCCCATTCTGGTAAGTTGGCATCCGTGTTGGTGGGTTTTTTGCGCTCCAGGGAGCTAGACTCTGGGGGTGGTGCACAGTTGAATTTCACACATTATCTATACATGCCATTTGCCAACAACGGTGGAAATTATCATGGAAGAGTGAGCGAAGCCAAGCTGCAGAGAGCATGTGGACAAGATGGTGAGTTGCGCACAGGTTTGGGTGCGGCTTACATGAGGGATTGCTTCAGAGCACAAACCTTTGACAGTGACTATGTTGACGAGTGGCACTTGCCGAATGCCACACCAACCTTCAGAACCTCGCAGAAGCTGCTTGAGAAGGACGTCTCCACCTTCATGCAACGCAGTCCAAAAGGCGTGCTTTTGGTGCACGTGGATGAGCACAGGTCTATGCGTCCAGACCCAGACTTCCGGAAAGGTGCCATGAGAGTACTTGTAGAGCTTCCTGGTGTCCAGGTCTTGGCAACCTACACTGACATTCCACCCCTGCCCAAGCAGAAGTCTTCAGAAACTTGCCGTCGACCGATCGCACGTTTGCTTCCACATATAGGGACAATCATGAAGGAGCGCCTATCCATGGACGACATCGACATGGACAATGAGGCAATTCTGCTTCGTGTGGCAACATTGCGTGTGACACTTGGACTTGCCTTGCAGAAGCTCCTCCTTGCCGGCTTGCACTCTCCATCTAGTGAGCTAGACCGGCTGTTGGACAAGCTGAACAACACTTTGGTGAATGCCGGTGACGATGTCAAGGCAAGGCTTGAGAAGTGCATCGCACATTGCAACCAGGCGTGGATGGATGAAGTGGCAGGACAGCAGATCAGCCTGGTCGACTTGCTCTGTGGCATCAAGGAAAGCGATAGCAGAGTGCAAGAGAAACGTTTTCCACAGGTTGTAGCGCTGGACGATATTCTCACGGCACCGCTGGAGGTTCTACTTCGTGACAGAGACGATGACTTACTTAGTCTTGCCAACATGCTACATCGTTCCTGTCAAGGGGTCTTCAAACAAGCGTTAGAAACGAACCCCAGAGCAGCTGTAACAGCTGGGAAGATCTTGGAATCCGCTTATCTTTGGGTGTTGGCTTGCAGGTCGTGCAAGTTCAGCGGGCTTGAATTTGACGCGCTGTTGGTTCGGTTTCAGTGCCAAGACATCCAGCCCGGCTATATCTTTCAGAAGAACAGCAAGATGCTCAACTCTGCCAAAGTCGCAGAGATGCAGAACGCCATTCTCTATTACGCCGAGGGGAACCATCCGTGTGCCGATATTTTCTTCAAGAATGGCACTGGTGCTTTGTACCTGGTTGACATGGGTGGCACTGGCAACATGTCGAAGGCGCTGAACAAGGTTCAGAAAATGAGTGATGTTCTTGTCAAGGAAGGTTTGCGTGAGGACTTGCAAGTGAGTAAATTACAAGGTGTCGTCCTGCTACCAAACATTGTGAGTATCGGCCTGGAAAATGAAGGAATCATCTCAAAAGCCATCACCGTCACAGGAACAAGAGCCAGAGAGCTGCTTGGTGGTCTCGTCCAACTGCTTGCTTGGATGCCAGCCGTTTGAAGCCCGAAGCTGGCGAACTTAACCAAAGTTGAGGCAAGGAAGCAGCGCTGCTGGTTGGGTGGTGCTGGATTTCAAAACTTACGGCGGGCGGTATGGTATCGCTGATTACCAACCAGATAAGCCAATAGTTAGTTGTGGACTGTACACAAAAATAAACTGTGCATGGACATCAATGAACAACCACTGCCCATATGACTACTGGGGAATGGCAATATAATTTGCTATTACCTTGAATCAAGAAAGTTTAGCGTTGGTACTACCAGGTACAGCCCAAACATTTGTAAGATGGAAACCCGAAGATGGGTATACTCAACTCATCTAAGGTCTGTGTCAGTCTTGATGGGTGGTTGAAACATGTCTTGTAGTACCTCAATCTTTGGTTCTAAGAAATAAACGATAATATATAGGGTATCTAATATTGGCCATGATATATATATATATCTATCTATCTATATCGTATATCATATAACATGATATATGATATATATATATATATATATATGTGTATATACATAAATATACATGTGTATACACTTACATATATATATATATGCATATTATGTATATAACATATATATATATATATACTATAATATAATATAATATAATATAATATAATATTATATAATATAATATAATATAATATTATATATATATATATGATACATATACACAACCGCCATGATCACCAAATCCCACCTGTTTTTTCCAAATGGATCGCTGGGAAACCAAGGCCTTAAAGATGGCCGGAGATGGAGGCGGTAATCTTCTGGCTCCGCCAGACAAACCATGGGAAAATCATGGGAAAAATATGGGGAAATGGTGATTTAACCAACAACACACTGGGTTTTAATGGGATTTATAGCTGGGAAAAATCAATGAAAATCATCAATGCAAGCTATGTGAGAGATTACTGGATCGATAAGTGAGAAACAAAAACAATAAATTTGAAGATGGATTGGTAAATAATTGAATCGTTTTTTTTTAACTCCAGGCTGCCCTAAAAATGTCATTTCATCGTAAGAGATGAAATCGCAGACTGGGACCATACAGTGGGGGTCTTTGATGTGAACAAGAGATGGGTTTTAAATTCATCCTTTAGATTAGTGTAGATCTACCGTGATCAGTGTAATGTCAACACTGGATTAATAAACCCCAATCGGTTGTTTAATTGGGTGGGTACCATTAAGTATTCGATTATGACTATTGGAGGAGTACCCCCCCTTAATTAATAAACCATGGTTGACATTATACCGGTATGTGTTTCCATTTGCGGTGACTCATATTTAGAACTGGGCAACAAAGGCGCTCACCGGGAGCCACGTGCCTCTTCTTATTGGGATTTGCACTGCAGTTTATATGAGAAAGAGGTACCAATTTTCACGCCGAAGATACGAAGATGCCAGGTACAACAACGACATTTGCAAAAAAAAACTCCAACATTAACATTTGAATACTTATTACTAGATCCTTGGTGTTTCCTGCCAGCAGTTTCCAGGGTTTTTCCTTATGCTGTAAATTCATTCATTGTATCATTCATTGACCCTTGCAAAAGGGCTTGTAATTCCAACATATTCCAGCCAAACCCCCAAAAACAACACATTACAAAATTTGATTCCCCCCTTTTCCTGGTGTTTAAACCATCGAGACGCGCATTTTTGCATCACTTCCGGTCCGTATCCCTGATTTTGAGACAACACAACGACGGTTGGGTCGGGGAGTGCATGAACCCAAAAAGATTATGTCCGGATCTCCGAGTTACAGATGGTGGGATTTTCATAGACTCAGACCCATTCGGATTGTGAGTTGGTCACCATCATTTTGTTGCCACAAAGAATGGTGTTAGTTTGTATTATTCTGTGTTCATGTGTTCATGTGTTATTCTGTGTTCATGTTTCCAAAAATCTGAGCTCTTCAGTGACTACGAATAGAAACTCAAGGTTCTGCAGTAAATCCTAGCGTTGGGCTTAACCACATGGTGGTGCCCCAAGCAATCCCTAGGTGAACATGACTCCGATAACTATGGCAACTATGATTGTTTATGGTGTATATACGTGTAGATATATATATATATATATATACACTTAGTTCTAGAATGGGGCTTAATTTTGGATCCTAGCACACATGAAAAACACGTTAATTAACTACAATTACAACCATTATAAACTATAAACCATTTTAAACCAGTTTCTAGGTTGGGGATGAGGACCACTTCTGTTAGAGGTCGTTTTGAAAAGAGATAAGGCCTTGAAGAAACCCATGAAAAAAACGGAAGATTCTATATAACATAATTGTAGAACACATCCTCCATTTGAAATTTGGGTTTAGGCAGAGTTCTGTTTAGGCATTGGCTCTTAATGGAGCTGTTGAATGCTGGAGGCTTTCCCCATTTTTTCTGGGATTTATTGAGGATTGGTCGGGATGCCATTGGGGGTCAATTTTTAGAGATATGTTGAGTTCGTTTTTAACGATTTTGTTAGGTTCGGTTATTCGGTTCATGTGGAGTTATGATGAATCATGTTAGGTGTGTGTTGAATTGTGTTTGGCAGTCTGAGAGGAAAAAGATGGCAGGATTCACATTGTTTCTGCAGGCTTTTCATGTATTTTTCTTGGGAGTCCAGTTGGGTTCTTCCTCAGAAATTGCTGTGGGAAATCATTGGGAAAGCTACTGGCCCAATAAATTCCAAAAAACCTTTGAAAAGGAGTACCCATAGGATCCATGTATGCTATATATGGTATCATGGATCCCATCAATAATATACCCCAGTCATGTTAGCATTAGTCTACCAGCACCATGGATCCGTCATGGGGTACGCTTAACCCGATCCAACAGACACAAGTCACTGGGGTTATCCAGCATTCATCCGGCCGCAGACACTCTGGAAAGTCTGGCTCCACAGTGCTGAACTCAGTGAGAGTCACGGGAACAAAACGCGACGAGTTGTCGGGCAGATGGGCCAACATGAGGTCGACGGGCAGAGTGGGATGAACATGGATTACCATCTGCTTATGACTAACATAGCCATGGTATAATAGATGGCCCATAGAAATAGATGGTTTACCGTTCTTAAAAATGGTGTATCTTTCCATGGCGAACTGTTGAATAACCAGACGGTAATATGAATTACTACGGATCAATATGGATTCATGTGGGTAAACCAATGCCATTTTTACCACCCATGACTGGGAATGGTTTATCCGACCTATGAAAATGGTGATGACTGGGGGATGGTTTATTATTGTTTTACTCACATTAATATGGATACAGTCTTTGATCTACTATTGATTTGCTGTGGATTACTGCGGAATTACTATGGATTACTATGATCTATGTGGTTGAATACGGATTGATATGGACTAATGACATTCAATATGAGGAGGTAACCAGCAATAAACTGGTGAATTGGGGCAAATTCTAGCGACTTCAATTGAACATGATGGCTCATGGGGGGATCATACCAATACATTCATGTCATGTTTCTGGTTTGGAAATTGTCATTTTTTTAGTTTGCCGATGTGGTCAATTCAAGACGATGATTTTTGATTTGCACTGATCATACATGGGTCATTTTTTTTGGTTCTTATGGGTCATTTGTCTCGCTCTCCAAATCTTAAGAAAAGCGAGGTCGCCTCTGTGATTGGTCGCCTCCAAAGAAGGATCAGAAATGGGTTTAGCATGGTTTAGCCATTCATCCTCTGAGCACTGCCTGAAACCCTGCTACCTTCTACATACTTGGAACTCATGGCCCATGGCTTTATGGGGCCTTAGGAATTCATGTGGAAATCCAAAAAAAACCACGAGCAGACCCTCCAAGTAGCCGTTTTTTCTAGTTATATACCTTGTACTTGGAGGGCTTTTGGCAAAATGGTGTTGGTTGATAGCCAAAGGAATTAGAAGCTATAAGCATAAACTAACTTAGCTTAAAGTTACACACTTTATTTGGATAAACTGTAGCTATTGGAATAAAATCACTTCGCTAACTGGGGCCCCACCCTCTAGGCGTTTAAGGTGTACCAAGGGCTGAGGCTTGTTTTCTGTAGTTACTGCAAGGTGGTGCCCCAAAGGATAGCTAAGTTGGTGAACAGAACTCTGAGTCCGTTAACTATGGTCTATGGTAGATATAACCTGACATAACTGTAGTATAACTATAAGTAGTCTTAACGAGGCTTATACTCATTTATAAACTATTGTAAAGTAACTTACAAACTGGGGATGCCACCTAAAACGAGGCCACCTGTAGCTGATGAATATGTTTTTCATTATTTTTCAATGTCCTATTGTTGTTGCTATGCTGATTATTTTTGATCACATATTTCAGACGTCGCTAAACATGTTTTTGTTTCTTGATGCTTAAAAATTCCATCTGTTGCATACTAATTCTGTGCTTATGGAGGGCAGCTAAGCCCTGTGAATTCGTTTACAGAATTTTTTGCAGGGTATGTAACATTGCGCCGAATGAGAATGAAACCACAAACGGCTGGGCAAGACGAAAAAATCCCATTGGACAGGAGCATTTCTGGCATCATTTTTCTCAATGAAATCCACACAAAAAACAGGTGTTTCTGCTGATGTGACAACCATACCCTCTGGTAATTTAACAGTTTGCTATTGAAAATGGCCATTTAGAGTGGATTTTCCCATTAAAAATTGTGATTTTCCATAGTTTTTTTGTATGTTTACCAGAGGGTAATTTCCGAATTTTCATCAAGGCCCGGCATCTTCTCTTCCTCCCAAGAAGTGGAGGTGGCCTGGGTGGATGGGGGTTGGGCCCCTCAGTTATGAGTTGGTCTATAAACATCTATCAACCCCATCAACCATAGTTATAAAATGTTATAAGTATCATAAAACACCCATTAACTATAGTTATTAGTATCATAAAACACCCATTAACTATAGTTGTTAGTATCATAAAACACCCATTAACTATAGTTGTTAGTATCATAAAACACCCATTGACTATAGTTATTCGTATCATAAAACTATCATAAAACATGGTTCTTGGAGTTATTTTCGACCCAACGCGGAAAAACTAACGGCATGAAGAGTCCGTCATAGTCCGTCAGCTCCCAGGTGAAGGAGTTCCAACAAAACTGAGCCATTTTTAAGGGGTACCCTCTGGTTGTTTAACATAGCCATGGAAAATGGCCCATTTATAGATGGTTTACCTATTGAAAATGGTGATTTTCCATGGCGAACTGTTAAATAACCAGATGGTAGGTGTTAAAAAATTCCAGCACCATGGAGTCATGGAGCATCCGGGGAACTATACCTGACTCCCCCCATATTTGGTTCATGAATTGCACCCCCTTTTGAGACCCCTATGGAGAGGGACATTCCTTATAGGGACACTCCAAATGAACATTCCTTTTCATTCATGTTAATTCCAAATATTTCCAAATAATTCAATGTCGTTCCAAATAATTCCATTTCATTCCAAAAAAAATATATATTCATTCCAAATCAGTTTTTTTCATACTTTTTGGTTATTTTAAAGACGTACTTAAATATTTTTTGATAATTTCAAAATGGTGTTCTGTTTTTGTTTTATTATTCTCTTGATATTTCTTGATTTTTTTTGATGTGTCTTGTTTTTTTGTAGATAGTTGTAGTTGTAGTTGTAGTTGTAGTTGTAGTTGTAGTAGTTGGAGTAGGAGTAGGAGTAGGAGTAGTAGTAGTAGTTGTTGTAGTTGTAGTTGTTGTTGTTGTTGTTTTTGAGGTTTCGAGTTTCTGATTGAATTGTTGGCAAGATCCCAAATTTGATGACAAAAATCACAAGTTTTGATGGTTAAATTATGTTAAATCCATACGTTTCAGGTCTAGAAATCACATGTTTTCGATGGTAAAAATCCAAGTTTTTCGGATCTTCTGGGTGTTTTGGTTTTCTCCAAGGAGGTTAAGGCGTGCGGCATGGCCCGGTAGGGGTTCCTCCTCTGGTCCCGAGAGGTTCCAATGTCCTTGATGGAACACTACTGGAAGAAGAGGGACAGCTTCGCACCACGCAGGCCTGTTGCGAAAAGTCACGGCAGAGTGGTTTCACCAAGGATTTAGCAACCCAAATGAGGATTTAACATGATTTTACCCATCATTGGTATCGGTTTTAAGATGTTTTAACTAGCATTTTAGCTGGGGATGTACTGTAATCATCCCAAATTGCCGATGACATAAGCTTCACATCTCACGATGAAAACCATTAACTTAATAATTTAGTAATTAGTCCTATTGCCTTCCACCATTGCATGAAATATCCCGGTTAAATGAATTTTGAAGTCTCATTCTATGGAACAATAGTCATCATCATTTGTGAACGGACAGATCCATCTGTCAAACTCCTATTTGTTATATCCATTATCCACCAGTATAAATCCACTATAAATCCTGTTCCATCACCCTATTTTGGGCTAACCCACCTGTCAAATTGGTTTATACATGTTTATACTGTTCTTATAACTCAAAGAAAAAACATGCTTTAGGGTAGGTGTATCATGATGTAACTATAGCATTTATGTATATTTCCAAGAACTATTGGTCTAGAGTCTATGGATGTGTATGGTACTCGTAGATGATAATGTATTTTTGGTAGTTATAGTCATTATTAATAGTTTCATACCCTGATCTATCAACATCCCCTTAGTTAATGTCACATATCCCGTTATTAATATTATAGTAACCATTATAAACCATTAAATATAACTATGGATACTATAGTAGCTATAGTAATTCTTCATGGTGCTTTATTTTCATAGATATAGTTTATATATAACTATATATATGTATATATGTATCATATTATTTGCATAATATATATATATATGTGATATAAAAAAAATATACATATAATGTATATAGTAACTAAAGTATTCATGGCCTTTTGAAATGGGTTTGACGCCAGGCATTCGGTGGACGCTTTAGGGACCATCGACAGCGCGCGCCAGTCCCTGCTGGATGAGTTTGGAGACCCAGGGGGACGGTGCCGTGGCGTGGATTCGTTGCTTGGTACCATGGGAATCCATAGGAAACCCACAGGAAACCCATAGGAAAACCATAGGAAAACCATAGGAAAATGGTGATTTAACCAACAAAAATGGGGTTTCAATGGGATTTATAGCTGATTTATGATAGTGGATTCGTTGGTACTTTGGTAAACATACAAACAATATTTCAAATTCACATTGTTGTATGTCTAAATCAACTATTTCTATGGTCATTTTCAATAGCTACTTTAAATTACCAGAGGGTAGACTTTCAAAGCCCAGCCATGAAGGTGAAAAATCACGGCGGCTGATCGATGAATTATTTAGGTTTTCACCTGCCGCGGTTATGGATTATGAACTAAGCCAAATGAATGGGAAACCTATCAACCAAATAGTATAGTAGGATCGTTTTTTTTTCACGGTTCGAATGGGCTAAAATTAGATTCTGAAAAGGACTGTGCTAGTACAAGGTCCAGCGGCTGTTCCAAAATCTGATGAATATCTCTACGTTTGATGGTTCCAGCTCCATTTCTGACAATTTTTGGCTGTTCAGCAGGACAATTGCAAGTGAGCTGGTTTCAACTCCCTTGTTTCTTCAGCTAATCGCTAGTTGTAACATGTTGTAACCCGATTTTTGTTGCCTTTTTTATCATGTTTTGTAAACACGTAAGATTATCCGCAGTTTTTGGAAAAACAATTGTGTTTTCATCTACGTGACTTCTCTAGATTTTTAGCTCAGAAAAATCCACTGCTTCAATGGCCATAATATGGCCATCGGGGGGACAAGTCGCGCCAGGAAGAAGTTGCAGATGCTGGGCATCTCCTTGAAACGGCACGAACATCGGAATCAGGTGGCAATCCGAAGCTGGACGTGACCTGTGGTGAACTGTTAAGGACTGTTTTCAGGTAGTTGTTTTCCATCAACAATGGTGATTTAATGGGATTCAAATGTTGATTTGCTTTTGGGATGAAGTGAGCTAAGATGTTTTACAACTAACATTTGACTAGGACTAGAGTCTATGGATATTTATGATTCAATGATAGAGATATGGAACTAGCAGTGGGCTTCATACCAAACATTACCAACCATTTCACTCGGGACCACCTTGTGGTATGCCGGGATGAGTTTGCAAGAAGTTGAGCACCCTAAAAGACTGAGCTGTAGTTTTACTAAACACAGGTATAATATATATATATATACACATACATATATACAAGGTTTCGGCTGAGGGACCGTAAGCGCCCCCTTCCTGTCACCTTAGCGGGTTTTCGCCACCACTACCCGCGGGCTGCCATCCGCGTGCTCCCTTTGCGGCTGGCGGCCTTTGCATTCTTGTGCTCTGCGGTCACAGGGCTGGACCGCAACACCTTTGTTGCACCTTCAACCTGGACTTTGGCATCGTGATCGGGCTGGCACCTTTTTCACGGTCTTTTTCCTGGCTGTTGTGTATGTCTGCCTGGTGGCTCTTCTTCCTTGTCTACTCCTTTGTGATCTTCTCTGTCGAGGGCGACGGCAACAGCAACTCAGCGTCGAGCACTGCGGAGGTCCCGAGCCAAGGCACGTCGTGCCTGGCACGACCATCGCAAAGGCCTGACTCCGCTGAGTTCTGCAAGACTCAGGAAAGTTCTTGGAACACTGCTGTCCCATCACTCCAAGGACTTTGGCTTCCTTTGCAAGATCCATCGAGAGATGACGAGCTCACAGGCATCTGGGTGGCTTTGTGGCTTTTGCAAGAAAATGCGCTCGCCGAGCGCCTGGTACTGCGACCTGTGTGGTCAGAGTTGGGAGAGCTGTGCAGTCCCTACGGCCAAGCAGGGTGGACAGAAAGCAGACCAGTGGAATTCTTGGCAGACTGCGAACACTGCTTCGAGGACGAAGAGCCCAAGGCAGCGGAGACAGTCGTCAAGGAGGAAAAACAAATGGAAAGATTCGGCACAGCCATCAAATTCGCCTGCAGGGCAATATTGGCCTGGAAGTGCAACTCAATGGCCTCAGATGCAGCAGACGTCCTCTCCAATGCCTCCTGGATGGGATCTCAAAGGGCTTGGAAAAGGAACTCCACAGAGCTTTCAGCAGCTTCCAATGCCTGCACCAGCACCATTGCCGCCGCCACCGCCTATGATGAGTGGTTATCCGTCACCGCAAGGCGTTCCATGGCTTCATCAACACATGCCTGCTATGCCGTCCATGCATTTCCTGCCACAACAGTCAGAAGCAGATGCAATGGAGGAAGCGGAAGAGCGGAAAGCGGCACTCAGTGCACAACAAAAGCTCAACAAGATCGTCAAGGCGGCCAAGAAAGAAGACAATCTGTCTTCGGAATTCCAGTCTCTTGTGCACGCAGAGATGAAGAAAGACGACAAGGAGAGCACCAACAATTTGTTGGCAGCGGTCAGAGCAAATGGGAAGGCGAAAGAAGCCCTCTTGGAAGTGGAATCATCAAGAATGCAACTCTGGTCTCAGTGGAAAGTTTTCTTGCAACAATCCGTGGTCAAGTGGAAAGAATACACGTCTCAATTTCAAGCATCGGAAGCTGCTTTCCAGTCCAAGATGCAAGAAGCCACCCTGCACCTGCGACGTACGCAGAGGAGAGTGGACATTGCCAAGAAGCGAGCAGATGCTATGAACAAGGACGAGGACATCAGCCTCATCACGGAAGACGAGATGGAAGACTCAGAAGCCAGAGAAGAAGAAGAGATTCCAAGAGACGAAAACGCACAGAAAATCCAGGAAGGATTGAACAATGTAGTCTCCAGCCTCACGGAGCTCTCGGACTCAGCAGACAAACTGGAGCCGAAGCCCAAAAGACCTCGTACAAGGGACGACGAGAACCCAGGAGACTCAAAGGCTGGTGGGCGACAGCCCTCTTTGCAGCCTTTTCGCAAGGCCGACGGAGCGTGACTTGTATGTACGACCGTCTATGGCCGGAGCCAGTACACTGCCCTTTTGCAGTGGTTTTACACTGGAGCCATTCAATTCTCAGTGAACCAACGTTTATGTCCCCGTGGAGTGCAATTGAAACAGCGTCAGACTTAGCATGTGAGATGGGTTATGACTCCAAGCTTCGTATTGACCAATTTGTTCTACCAACACGTGGCGACGTTGATGTTGAAGTTCGTGAGAAACAGCCTTGCAAAGTTGTTCGTTTTGCCGAATCGCCCCAGGCCTTTCAGGGGAAAGGCGCTCCTGAACAGTTCCCGCAGGAGAGTGTACGGCATTACGATGGACAACCAATATCACAATTTTGGCATTCACCACGCAGTTGCCCCATTGACCCAACCGGCGGCAGCAAGTCTCAAGCATCTAGTTCCCGGGATGCAACATCATCATCGAATCGACATTTTCTGGACAGAAGATTGCCACAAGAACTACCAAACTATGTGAATCATCTACAGCATCTTTGGCGTGACAATCACCTGAGGATTGCTGAGGGAGAACATTATTGTGTGCGCACATGGTACATTCATCATACTCATCATCCAGTCTGGCGAGTACCACGATTCATTGACTTGACAGAGGATGTCTTGACATGGCATCGTAAGGTGCTTTCTTCCTGGTCAGACCACATCCATAATGATGAGTTGCTCAACATTGCCATTGCGACCCCAGAAGTTCGCGTCCAAACGACGCACAAACAACATCATGCCGATCTCGTCCTGATTCAAGGTGATCCTGAACGTAAAGGGGCTATCATCACTGTCTATCCTCCAGGAGTTGAAGAACATCTGAGCACCACTCTGGCAGTTTCCTTGCCTGAGCATGTCAGTGGAATGGACGTCATTACTGGAGCGGAGGCACAAGATCTTCTACTTTCGCATGCCTGTGATGTCTTTCATGCCGGATTTCAACTGCCGATTGGGACAGTTCCAACTCATTGGATGGCAAATGGACACACATTTGTGGTTATTTTTCAGGATATGCAGACGGAAACGAACAACGAGATTGAGAGCGCCTTGCCAGCCTTGAGTTCTGAAACTATTGACCAGGCTGAAACTCTTGATGAAGAACCAATTGAGAATGAGAATGAGCAAGAAGGAGGAGAATCTGAACCACATCAAGAATCTTCCAGCAGTTTTGATGAGGAAGCTTTACAAGGACTTTGGATCCACCAACTTCATCAGCCTGCTCATCACTGTTTTGTGAGATGGACAACCTACAATGTCATCCTCTTTGACGCGTTACAGTCGGTTGGACTCCATCGTGATCTTGCTGTTGGTTTTCATTATGTTCAGGCGCCGCTAGTCGATCAACATGAAGCAGAAGAATCCATCATCATTCAACGGGTTGGAGACATTGAAGGTGGATCGCCGGCAAAGCTGGTCATTGTAGATCTCACTTTTGCTGGTCAACTTCAAGGATCTCCCACATATCATAGACGAGTTCAAGTTTTCCCGAGGCATCTCAGTAGAACTGGAGTCCTTCAGGAACTGAACTTGGCAGACCCTTGCGTCATTGAGGCAGATCGGTGCACACTACATCTCAACAATGCACTGTGGGCAAAAGAGGATGCAGCTCCGCGTGAACTTGCTCATGGTGCATATTTGAGACTTGAGGTAAGGCTGCGCAATGACGAGCAAGAGGTCAAGGTACAATCTGCTACACAGTGCAGTAGACCATTGAAGAAGTCGAAGCATGGAGATACTATTGATTCTGGAGACGGAGCGTCATTTTTCCAGACCGGTACTGGGCATACTGTCCAACACAGTTCCGCTTTTCCAAGTTTGGCCAGTACGAGAACTGACTCAGGCACAGGTGTGACTAGGCCTGCACACATCCCACAAATGGATGCCAGAGCATGGATGGTGCCTGCAAGAGCAGCATTTCGTCAATGTGCGGAAGTGGAACATGAAGATGAAGGTCCAGTCATTTACTGGAAAACCTGGTATCTCCATTATCAAAGATACACAAGGAACTCAGAGTCGCGCACTCTTCGCTTGGATGAGGCACGACAATTTTGGTTCCCAGAACTCTGTGATCTCTGGCGTGATGCAATGGACCCATTTGCCCCGGCCAGGGTCATCTTTGTGCATCCGAACCCTCCAGAGACGGACAATCCACAACACATTGGGCACTTGATTCTGGTTCAAGGTCAAGGACCCGGTGTACCGGTTCTGGTTTCTGGACTATTTGAACATCCTATCCATCGTCGTGTATGGCACTTTGCAGCTCTCGCTGAGGAGTTCGCGACGAAGCAGGAAATTCTGGACATACTGGGCATTCAGCGATGGTGTGATAGGAGAGAATGCACCTGCACTTATGGAGGAGTGATGCTTGCAGGTGAAGAATTGGCCAGGTTGCAAGATGGCGACAGTGTGGTCACGAGCATTGGCAGCCCAACCATTGGCCAAAGCAGTGATGTCACATCATTGATGCAATCATCAGGTCCTCCTGGCCCCTCCATTTCACCAGCTTCGACCGGAGCTTCACAAGCTGTAACCGGACATCATTGCCCAGGTTTTCAATTCAATCCAGATGCACCAGCATTCGATCCATCAACACCGGATCTGCGTACTCTCTCAGAATTCATGGCGGATCTATGGGAGAGATGGGATGCAGTCGCCTTTGCGTGGGAGGATGAGGACAAGTCCACGACGTTGGCGACGTGGTTTGTGGATCACCGATGGGGGCAGCCACATGGTTTCGAGGAGCGTCGACAACAACTTTTCAAGGACTATGCCAACTGGGAAGATCAAATTCAGAGAAGATGGCATGACCTTTGGGATGTCAATGCTGAACATGAATTCCATGTTGTCGAGCCCCAACCTCCATGCAACACTGCGGATGCGGAGATCCATGTGATTGTCATTCAGCACCCCAATCCAAGCTGGGTCACCAACTTGGTCACCCAGGAGGAAAGTACTAGACGGGACAATGACAATTACTGGCGCATGGCTGTCACCACACATGAACACATATGGCCTGAAAACATTCTGCTTGCCACGCAGATGGCCCCATTCTGCAGAGGAGACGGAGCACAATGGGATTGTGAGGTATGGATTAGCAATCGACCAATCCAAATGGACAGAGTTTTCCAGGGCCGAAGTGGTTACAGCATCATCCTACGTCTTCGACCATTATTGGTTATCGTCCAAGGATTGGAACCAGTGCAAATGCAAGAATCAGAAGATGAAGCCAATCTTTTGCAGATTGCTTCTACACAGCGTCATAGTCACGCCAGAGTCAGGGATGAGCGCCTAACTGACAGATTGGTGGCGCATGACTGTCGGCCATCCGAGACTCGAACACTGCATTTAGCCGAGCTGCTAGCTCCACCGTTGAGCCATCCTGACACCGACATGAATGGAGATGAGACGCGGCTGACGGCCGTACGTCTGCTCTCTGGTGCAGATGAACTCCAAGTCCCGCACTATGTGGAAGTGAAAATTGATTATACAGCAGAAGATTTGGTGGCCGAGCTACGACATTGGGGACTTCACTGCCAAGTCATCCAGTTTGGACTGCATGAGAGTTTTCTATGCTTGCCAGTCGACCACACTTTTGAGTCGAACAGACACTTCTTCATGTTTGCCAATGATGACACATCAGATGACCATGGAATTTTTCTACATGCACATCATGAAGAGCTGGATCATCGTGGAATTCTACGCTTACTGGATCAGATGGATTATCCGCGAGCAGTGATCATCTCAGATGTATCACTTCCGTGCGGACTGCGACAGATTCGCTTTCGCAACGTTGTTCCCACTTTTGCAGCCCCGCCACGACCCATGCGATCACGTACCGCATGGCCGGACCGCACAGTTGATGAGTGGCAAGAACGAAAGCTTTTCCCACTGACCAGGCACAATGAGGTCTCCACACAACGCATCACCACAGGTTTCAATGATCAAGATGTCCAGGAGCTTGTTGATGCTGGTGCGCATTTTCTTCAGACCAGTTTTGAGGGCATTGATCTTCCTGACTTTGTCATGGAGAAGGTGAATGTCACGCGCACGCAGCAGAAGTATGACCGATGGCTCATTTACACCGATGGTTCCTCGCAATCCACACTACGTCGGATTGCCCCAGAACGGGTCGATGAGCTAGGTGTACCTGATACATGGGCCATGCTTGTCCTCGGTGAGAAGTTCCTACAAGATGGTCAATCTTTGGTCGAACCCATTGGTTGGTGCACACACCCAGTGAGGTATGACGCCAATGGCTCCTGTTACACTCATGCAACGAGGATTGGGGCAGAAGTCGCTGAGCGTGACGCGCTGATTTGGTCGGGGATTTGGAGGCTCACACAAGATAGTATCACCCCAACCATATTTTGCTGTGACTCACTGACATGTGGACGACAAGCGTTCGGTTTAGCAGGCACGGGCGATGCAGACCCTTCATACAGAATGTTAAGGGGCATTTTCCAAGCACTGGAACATGGATTACCACAAGGCCATCTTCGCCTTCACCATGTCACTGCGCATGCAGGCGATCCGTACAACGAGTTTGTGGACATAGCCGCCAAAAGAGAAGGACAGCAAAGCTTTCTTCATCGCCGAGCTGACCTTGATCTACAAAAGTGGCAGCACATTTTTCCACATCTATGGTTGTGCTTCGCCAGTGAGAGTGGACTACCCCCATGGCGAGATGGACATCTTGCAGTCGAGCTGCCGAAGTTGCCGTCCTCCCACCCATGTGAAGAAGGACATGATGGACAAGGACACACAGAGGTTTTTGACTGCACTTTGAGCATGGCATCTGCAAATGTGTTGTCTCTGTCACGAGGCCCACAAGGACACTCCGGAAAATTGCATTACTTATATGCACAAATGCAGTCTTTTGGTCTTCATGTTTTGGGAGTCCAAGGAAGCAGATCGGATGAGGGAGTCACGACTTCATACAAGATACTGCGTATCAGTGGTGGTCATGCAGAGAAGCAATGCGGAGTTGAACTGTGGGTGAATCTCCAACAGCCGATTGCGACCACAACCATTGGAGGGAAAGCCTACTTCGCAGCCTCAGACTTCCAGGTGATACACCGAGATCCAAGAAGGCTGCTGGTTCGGGCGGAGAACAAGTACATCAATTGCTGGTTTTTTGTAGGACACGGGCCTCACTCCGGACGACCAAAAGAAGAACGCAGTCAATGGTGGGCATTCACCACTGAGATCTTACGAGGACACCTTGATCAACGACCATGCTTCTGGATGATAGATGCCAATGCTGAGCCGGGCACATCTGACAACCAGGCCGTGTTCCAGCAAGGTCTCCGTACATCGAAAAACACAGATTTGTGGAGGGCATGTCTGCGAGCATTTGACATGAGTCTGCCTTCAACTACATGCATCCATCAGGGAGAACGTGACACATGGACAGCAATCGACGGTGCGACCACACACTGCATTGACTATGTTGCTGTGCCTTCTACATGGTTATCTTCATGTACGTGGTCGCAGGTTCTTCATGATTTAGACCTTGCAACAAGCAGAGATGATCATCATGCAGTTGGTCTGGAACTCCGATGGCAAGAGTTGAGAGAATGCCGAACTCCTACAAGGTCCCAGCCAAGTGTTGAATGGTCTGCGGCTGAGATTCCTGATCGCATGCGGACGGCACTGGACTCGCTGATCATACCGGAATGGTCGACAGATATTGAACAACATGAGAAAAGCATCCGACAACAAGTCCAGTCTGCACTCCATGCAATTTCAACACAGAAGCGGAGCATGCCCAAAAAGCCATATCTCACAGATGACATTTGGGATGACCGCCGGTGTTTGTTGCAATTTCGCAGAAAGCTCAAGCAAACCCGTGCCTTTTTGAGCAGAGAATGTTTAGCCAGCGTTTTCAAAGCCTGGAGCAGCAGAAGTAGTTCATTGACCGCCTTTGAGGAGTTTCAGTATGGCAGCACCTTGCGCACTGGCCTGCTCCACAACATGGCAGGGTATGTCTCATACAGAAAACGAGTTAGAACAAAGATCACTTTGGCCAAGCACAATCTGATGCAGCAACGTCTTTCGACAGTTAATGAGCACACGTCAGCCAGTGGTATTCTCCATCTTATGAGAGACTTCACTGGGCCGACCAACCCCAAAAAGGCCAAGCAGAAGACCATACCCATGATCTACAACAAGGACAATGTACTATGCCGTTCACCTACTGAAGCTTTGGAGGCTTGGATCACCTTCTTTGCCAGTATGGAAGGTGGACAAAGACAATCAAAAGCTGAACTACGAGAAGACTGGATTTCCTCAATGGTCGCAATGCAACCCACAGAGATCATGACTGATGTCCGACATATGCCGACTTTAGTAGACTTGGAGCTGGCCTTCAGGCGTGTGGCGTGCAACAAGGCGGTCGGGCCGGATGGAATCCCAGGAGAGGTGTGCCACTATGCTCCGACTAAATGTGCACGTGCCAACATTGCTATCTTGTGGAAGCTGCTTTTGCTGGGACAGGAGCCCCTCATGTACAAGGGAGGTCTTCTTGTACAAGCCTACAAAGGCAAAGGTGCAAAAACATCCTGTGCTTCTTTCAGGTCTTTGTTGATCTCCAGCCACTTTGGCAAATCCATCCATCGAGCGCTGCGATCCCAACAAGCAAGTGTGTTTGAAAAGTTTCTGCAAGCGCAACAGTTGGGAGGAAGAAGGGCTATGCCCGTCACATACGGGGTTCACTTAGCCCGGGCATATATGCGACAAGCCAAAGCAGGTGGACGTTCTTGTGCGATTGTGTTCCTCGATCTGAAGGAAGCCTTCTACCGCATCTTCAGACCCATATGCATGAAGGACTCTGTGACTGACGAGGATCTCGCCAAGCTGATGCACAAGCTGAACATGCCGGAGGATGCAGTCGACATGCTACGCGTTATTCTTGCGGGTCCCAGCGCTTTGGAACAGGCGGAACTGTCAGAAATGGAAAGCAGGTGCCTCAAAGCTGTCCATCGTCAAACACATTTCTGGATGAGACAACAGGAGGATGTAGTGCAGACGAAGTATGGCTCGCGGCCAGGAGATCCATTTGCCGATGTTGTCTTCAGTTATGTTTGGGCTGTGGTGCTTAGAAAACTACAGCATTTCATGCGTGACAACGGGCTCCTTAGCTCCTTCCCCCACTTGCCGCACCTGCAGTTCTTCTCCGATTCTTCACAGAACATTGATGGCAACGAGGAGTTCATAGGGCCAACATGGATGGATGATTTGGCCGTATGCATAGAAGCAGATACATCCGCTGAGGTTGTCCGCAAGACTGGCGTGATGACAGGTAAGCTTTTGGAGCTTTGCATCGAGCACTGCATGACTCCCAACCTGTGCAAGAACAAGACAGAAGCCCTTTTCTCCTTCAGAGGACCAGGCTCACGACGCTACAAGAAGCTCTTCTATGGACCTGATGCGTCAGGAAGTCTCGCTGTGGTGTCTGAGTACGGGATGCACCATGTACCGGTCACTACCAACTACAGTCATTTGGGAGGACTCCTTCATCACTCGACTGACCAGAAAGACGAGATCAAAAGACGCATTGGCATAGCCTGCGCGGCCTTCAATCACCACAGCAAGTTGATCTTCCGCAATTGGAGCTTGCCCTTAGCCAAGCGCACTCAGCTATTTGAATCTCTAGTTCTGAGTAAGCTTTTGTACGGGGCAGAAACATGGGTGGTGACGGAGAATGCCACGGTAGCGCTTTTCAATGCAGCTGTGATTAAGCTGTACCGCAGACTCCTTCGGGTGCAGCCTGATCAGCATTTGGCTGATGATGCCATCCTGTCCCAGGTTTGTCTGCCCAGTCCAATTGAGCTTGTCAGGAGAGCGAGGCTCAGATATGTTGCTACACTATTTCATTGCGGTGAACGCAGTGAATGGGGACTCCTGGCAAAGGACATGGCATGGACTTCGCTGGTGGAGGAGGACATGGTCTGGGTCTGGGACAACATTTGGCACAGCTCCACGATGCCGGACCCCCGCACCAATTGGAGTGCATGGAAGGAACTGATTGTCCATCACCGCTCATACTGGAGACGGCTTGTCCGTCGCGCGTGTGAGCATGCCATTGCCCAACGACGCAAAGTGTGGCTGACGCATCAGTTTTATGAGCAGATGACGATCATTCTTCGCAAGATCTACGACTACGAGCCGCATGACAACTGGAACCCCCCTCGGGACATACCCGTCTACGGATGTCTTCAATGCCAGAAGCAGTGCCGAAACAAAGCGGGTGAAGCAGCACACATGTTCCGGGCGCATCAGCACGTGGCCAAGCGCAGATTTCTGAGCGACTCCACCGCGTGTCCGTCCTGCCTCAAGGAATATCACACTATGCAAAAGCTCATGGCACACTTGTACTATGTCAACTCATGCCGTCAGACCTTGCTGAGTAGAAACTACGTTTGCCCACCAGGGCCAGGAGCAGGTTCGCAAGAAGACCAAGTACTATGTCGTGTACATGATCGCATGTTGCCACCGCTCCAGACGGAAGGACCTCAGCTTCCAGAGCCGAGAATGAGAGAGGAGACAGAAGTGGATAATGACCTCCACCTCTTCTTCATGGAAACCTTCTTAGACGCCAACGACCTGAATGAGGCAATGAGCGTCTTTGAACAAGAGGCTCAGCAGAGACCATTATCCTGGACTACGTGGACAAGCACTCTCCGCTACTTCATGGATAACCTGGAGGATGAGGATGTGCACAGATGGCAAACCACAGCGTTGCGAGCCCGCACAAAACTCGAAGGCTTGCTTCAGCCAGAGAAGTGGAATCTGTGCGCCGTAGCCACACATCAACATGAAAGTCTTTCTGACCTGGAGCAAGAAAGCAGAGACGTTGCGGGCACATCTTGGCCCCAGCGTACTCACATCCCGCCAGCGTTTGGGAAACACCGAGTGTTGCTCCACATGTTTTCGGGAAGACGCCGAGTGGGAGACGTGCAATTCTTTTTGGATCGCATGACCCCTCCGGACAACTATGTGCTCCACGTTGTCAGCATGGACGTGGTGGTTGACCGCGTTTGGGGGGACGCGATGGCTCCTGGTACAAGAGACTACTGGTTGAGGGCGGCCACCGACGGCTACATTGCAGCCTTTCTTGCAGGCCCGCCCTGCGAAACCTGGTCTAAAGCGAGAGGCCAACAACTCAAGCAGGCCCGCCACAGTCGAGGTCCTCGAATCCTGCGGACCGAGGACCACCTTTGGGGCTTGCCATGTCTGGCTTTGAAAGAGGTGCAACAGGTCATCACTGGCAATGAGCTGCTTACATTTACGCTACTCATGGCTGGGAAAGTGATCTGCACTGGTGGTTCAGGGGTGGTCGAACATCCCGCCGAACCGGAAGAACCACAGGCAGCTTCGATCTGGAAGCTGCCGGCAATGCTTGCTCTTCTTCAAGCACCAGGTGTCCAACGACATCGTCTATGCCAAGGACTCTTTGGTGCTCCTTCAGCGAAACCGACTGAGCTCCTCACGATCAACCTGCCCAGACTGCCGCTCCATCTTCAAGCATGGATGACGCGGTCTGAGAACCCGAGAGGACAGGCAATTGGTCTGACTGAGGACGGATTTTGGCGTACCGGATATCTCAAAGAATATCCGCCAGCTATGTGCGGAGCACTAGCCGATGCTTTCCGCACCAGACTAGATTCTATTGGTGCGACGACCGGGGTCGAACCATCCGAAGCTAACAAAGCTCTGTGGCGTTCACTTACTGTGACAGCGTACAGCAGCCACATGGGAGCTGATTATGCCGGATGAAGCTTCGGACCTTGGTGAATTCAAACAGAACCTTGCAAGGCCGCGGCGTGATGCAGCAGTGGGCCGAAGGGAAAAAAAATACATATATACATATATATATATATATATACATACATGTATATATATATATATGTATATATACATATATATACATATATATATATATACATATATATATACATATATATATACATATATTATATATATATATGTATATATGTATATGTATATGTATGTATGTATATATATATATATCAGTGTTTGGAATATGTGGAAGATGTTGGCTGAATTGAACATGACCATTAGATAAAATTCATTACTGGCGTGTTGAAACTTCCAGGGCGGGTAAATGGATGTAAATGATTGAATTGTGAGATATGTTGAGAGACCTTTTTTGTCTTGTTAGATACCCCACTGACTGATCCTGGCTGATTGGTTTTCCTAGGTAACTCCATATAAAGACACCATTTGATAGTGGGAACAAAACTTCAATGTCCAACTTAGTTTCATAAGTATGTTTATTTGTAACCAAGATTGAAGATTTTTCCAAGCATTTTGATAGTTGGTGACTATAGTGGTTTAGTAACGTTTCAAAGTGCTTGAGAGTTGTCCAACCATCGATTCACGTACCGAGTGTTCAACTTGAGTTTTGCACGCCCCGAACCTTAGAAGCGCTTGTTGGATCTCCCAATGATCGAAAGGGAAGCCTCGCTAATGGGGACATCTATCAACGAACGAAAACAGAAAACGCAAAGACAATGCAGGGTACCCTCTAGAGGTAAACATACAAAAAACTATGGAGAGTCAGCATTTTTCATGGGTAAATCCACTATTTCTATGGCCATTTATAGGGAAAATCACCATTTTTAATGGGAAAATCACCATTTTTCATGGGTAAATCCACTATAAATCACCATTTTCAATAGCTTTTTCTATGTTTACCAGCTTGGGTAGCTCTGATCCTTTTCGCTTTTTCGATGATCCCGTAGAATCCCAAAGATTAGCCCTGGTTATGACATTCACAGCAATAGCCATGGAAAGATTCACCATCTGGTTATGACTAACAGTTCGCCATGGAAAATCACAATTTTTAATAGGTAAACCCAGGTAAACCATCTATTTCTAATCTATACCATCTATTTCTGCCATTTCTAATCTATACCATCTATTTCGATTAGGGCCATGTATATATGGCTATGTTAGTATATGTTAGTCATAACCAGATGGTAACAGTTTTTAAGAACGCTAAAAACCATCTATTTCGATTAGGGCCATCGAAAAACCATGGCAAACTGTGAATGTCATAACCAGAGGGTACAGCATATGACCTAACTTGGCTTTGTCCAAAAATTGGGGGATAGCCTGTAATTTTGCAATCAAACATGTTTTCATGGGGGAACATAAGATCTGAAATTCCAAACACATCTTTTTGAAATTATAAAAAACATTTTAAATCCCAACATAAGAACATGCCAGAAAAGGTCATGAAATACCGGGAAACGGATTTGAGTCTCTGGTAATGAAACGTGGCTAGCTGGGCAACTCCCCATTTAGTTCGATGATTTTCCTAGCTATAAACCTCCATTTAGAAAGGATTTGCTTGTGTGTTTCCACTATTTTACAGTGGAATGTCCAGATTGCCACCTTTGATTACCAGGGGGTAAAGCATACCGCCCATTAAGATTCACATAGATTCGCTATGATTTACTTAAGATGATCATATCCCAACATCATCTTTCACCATGTATCACAGGTTGGTTCATCGTTTTTTCCTCTTACAAGCTCAGCTTCCGTGGATTTTTCATGAGCATCTCCAGGGCGTGAAAGGTGCCGAGGCGGGGTGTCGTCCACGTTTCCGGAGGCGAAGTTGGTGAAAAAAACATGGCAACTATAGGCTCTATGGCAGATCTATCTTGAAAATAATGAGTTTTTTCGGCCTTTTTTTCTACGGTAATTCAATTACAAATTTAATGGCAGATGTATCTTAATATGGCAGACGTATCTTGGTCATTCAATGTAATTCATCATAACTACGGATTGTTTTTTTTGGTTGTTGTCTTTGATTCGTAAAGAATCAATGGGCTTTTTGTTTTTATTTTTTCATAAGTATGTTAAATTACCCTTACCGGGTAAATTGAACTATTGAAATTGGAGTGTTGGATTTTCTCAGGTAGGGAAAGTCTGGAAAATCTGAATACCTGGGGCAATGCTCATCATTTATCATAACCCATAGGATCATAACATTTACCATCAATATACCCCAGTCATGTTAGCATATATACCAGCACCATGGATCCTATGGGTAAGGAACTTGAGCAGGATCCCAGCTGACCATGGATCTCAAGCAGGATGTGTTCTTGGGATGGTTGCAATGTGTATTTCTTTCAGAGGCGGCGCCATGTTTTCTTTAACAAACGATAGGTAAAATTGCAGCTAGAGAAATGATATTACATATAAAAAAGCATAGCTTGAACAAAAGATTTTGCTGAAGTCCAATTAGACAAGTCCTCAAGTCTGACTTTGTCATGTCGTTTGATTTATGTTTTTGTCATGGTGGTTATGTCCTTCCTTTGGTTCAGGAAAACACCGGGGCTGCCACGGGATCAGCAGAAAAAAATTACCCCCTCCAAGTAAAGCCTAAAACATGTTGCGAAAAACCTCAGAAACTTTCTACTTTTGCTGCCATTGTTTGGGATGTTTGGGGTGAGTGTCTAGGTAAGCTTAATTTTGCAGTAATTTCAGTGAATGCCAACAATTACTAGTTACTAGAAACAGAGAACATCTGCCCTCAGGTAATTTAAAATTTTATGGAAAATCACCATTTTAAATGGGTATATCATGGTATATCATAAACAATCTATAAATGGGCCATGGCTTCTATTGAACTTGGACTCAACATGACTCCGACCGGAGGCCATTGTGAGCATCAAGTGCGCCATTCTCCGCTGTGACTTTGATGTTCTACACATCGAATGTCTCAGTGCCACTGGGCAGTCGTTGAACTGCGTAAAAACTACGAAGTGATGTATGTGTTACACAGGCAGTGGCCAATTTAGTACCTCAAATTGAGGTTTGCGTTCAATTCAAGCAACAAATTTGAGCATGGATATGTAGCGTTCAGAGGCCTCACATAGACCAAATATAGCACAATGGTATACAGTATACCAACATGGGCCGTGTAAGTTTGGTATCTGAAAGTTCCCTTCATAGAACTCCAAGAATTGGAATATCGTCCAAACCCAATTTAAGCTCGCAAGTTCCATGTTGTGAATTTTCGATGGTAGATGGAGAGATGAATGGATGGTTATATTTCGAAACACAGAAAAACAGGGAGATGATTCAAATCGCAATCCAGCACATGCGGAAAGTTGTTGCACGTGGGTATGGGTGAAAGTTCGAGAACCTCACACTCATGGATGGACTTGTCAGTTTCAGTATCCATATGGAGGTTTCCCAAACTGGAAGGTACCCCCAGTCATCATCCATTTATAGCTGGGATTTTCCATGAAATAAACCATCCAGCTATTGGGATACCAGATTCCATATCATTGTATAATGTCAACCATGAAGAATTGCCCTCTGGTAAACATACAAAAAACTATGGAACATCACCATTTTTACATATTTTTACTATGTAAATCAACCCTTTCTATGGCCATTTCAATAGCAAACTGTTAGCTTAGAGGCTTACTCGGATACTCCTCCAGTGTCAGAGGTCATCCGCACCGTGATCAAGCAACACGAAAACGCCACCCGCCACCGGTTTCAGTCGCACATATCGGGGATGAATGGGGATGAGAAAATGATGGGGTATAGAAAATATATTAGCATACTACCGGTAGCATATTACTAGCAAATATCTTATAGCTGACGAATTTCGGATGAGAAAAGGATTAATGTCAACCCTGGATGAGACTAAACCATGGTTTATTGATTAGGGTGATACTCCTCCAATAGTCATAATCTAATACTTAAATGGTACCCTCCCAATTAAACAGCCGTTTGGGGTTTATTAATCCAGGGTTGACATAATCAATGATTGTCAACCAAATTTTATCATCATTCTTCATGATCTGATGTCATCGTCCTCCAAAGGTAAAACTGACAGAGGCTCAGCTGAACACTGCTCAGAAACGTGTTTGAAAGCCGGCCGTGTAATACCTAGACCCCATTTATACACCCATAGAATGGGGCACTTTGGCCAGATAATTTGATACTGTTGCACTTTCAAAAGCGGGTACTTTGAGGGTTAAGTTGCTTGTTATATTTCCCAGTAGCATATTTGTTGGTAAACATCGTCTGTTTTGTTAGCATATGTGGCCGGGTACAGTACGCAGAAGCTTTGCTAGTTCAGATAATTCCATATATACTCAGACATGCTTGGAAACTGCTGTTTTTGTAAGTTTGTTTGTGCTCTACCCGTTTGACGGGAAATTTCATGTAATATGCGGAGCCACAGGTATGTTCATTTCAGAGAAACGCAATTGCTTCCGTCAGCCAGACCTAGCTATATATCCTGAGCATGGGTCAAAATTGGTCATCCTAGAGTTGGTGGTTTGGAACATTTTTTATTTTTTCCATATAATTATTGGGAATAATCATCCCAACTGACGAACTCATATTTTTCAGAGGGTAGGTATACCACCAACCAGTCATCGCAAATTCTTGTGGCTCCTAAAGTCTGAAATCGCGACTGCCCACGCCGTGGCTTTTGGTTGGGGTGAAAAAAACAGGGTGAATGGTGGGCATCACAGCTTAATTCAAAGCTAATTTCAAGGGAATTGTCCATATCTGCTTGAGAGTATCTGAAAGTTACACTGAGAGTTGCAGGGTATCGAAGCTTAGCAGTTAACCAGATACCTAGACAAGTACGTAGACCCTGTACTCATAAAACAATTGGTACTTTACCCTCAGATCTCTGTAGATTAATTAGCTAATTTGTATGCATTATATGTTTTGACACGTGTTATTATATTTGTATGTTATATATACGCAAATAA